GAACACAAATTAAGAGTTCAGATGTTGCAAACCTGCATGAGAAGCAGCTGAGATTATAATCCACCAAACCCACCCAACCTAAATCATTCCTGTTCCACCTTGAAGCTGTTTGTTTTTGTTTTTTTTTTTTATTTTGCCATTTCTATGAGCAGCTGCTGGGCTCCAGCACAGTTTGCTCTCACTGTGAGCGTCCCCAGCCCTCCCCTGCAGTCCCCAGCTCACACCTCAACACCCTGAATGCAGCAGCATCAGTAYCTGCCTGCTCCTCCTGCACCCAACCTTTCTCCTCCCTGTGCCCCTGTCCCTGCACAGCTGTGAGAGAAAAAAATAAATCCCTTTTTTAGTTGAAGAGTGGAAATATAAAACATCCCTGCATGATACCAGGGGAGAAAATGGTAAATCTGCAGCAGTCCCATAACATGGACTAAAAGTTCAGTTCCTGGAAAGAATCCAGCACTCGGTAAATGCTTAAATGTTTGAAAATTGTTTTGCTCTTGACAAACTGTTCCCATTTTAATAATTTTCAAGGAATCGTGAATTATTAAGACAGATGTTCTAAATAGAAAAATACCTCTGGAAAACTTGAGGAGAGGATATTTGAGTGATTTTTTTTCCAGGAATCCTGGGGTACAGAATAASTACTTAGTTCTTTCAAAAAGTGTCAGGAATAACACCAATACAGCAATTTTATAAAGCACTTTGTAAAACTACTGCAATTTTAGCTTTCTCCTTGCTGCAAAATATGGAAAAACAGTGTTTCTTAATTCTTCAAGTATCTTTTATAGAAAGTCCTTTAATCAGAGCCTTAAGCTTTTCATCATCATCTCATATGTGCTGGTAGCATTCTTTGCAGAAGAAAAAGAAAGGGAAAAAGAGCAGAAAAGTGAAGCCTGTCACTTGTGATGCTTTCTTGAATGACTTTACAAGATTCATCTCAAACTTTGTAAATTAGGAAAACAGTGATTTCAACAATCAATAAAAATTTGATATTAATGATCAGTAAAACTGTCCTTTCACTTAAACAGGGAATTGCTTTTCTGAAGTTGAAAATGAACAAGATAATGGCATTTTAATGGGAAGTACAAAAGGGAAAATGCAAAGAAAGATCATTTAGGGATGGAAAAACTCCTGTTGAGTGTACCAGCTGCAGGTTTACTGAGCATGGGASGTAAAAAATCTTCAGCCCTGATGTGAACACAAGATTTTCCTTAGACACTGTGGCTGCAGTAACTGCACTGTATGAGGACAATGAAGTAACAAAGAAATTTAAAAGAACAAGCAAGGTTTGAATAATTGTGCAAAAGGCTGATGAAACTATGCAGATGCAATTGCTCTTCTGTCTGAGGATGGGAGTCCTTGACACCTTTCCCAGACTGTGGAAATGAAAGCATGATGAAATACAGACTGCATCAGCAGCTGTAGAAGTAAAAGGATGGATATTAAATAATAATTTTCAATGTGTTTCATTGTTCTCTGCAATTTTTCATCAAAGAAAGACTATTGTAGACACTGAGCATTAATATGGAAATGTGCATTAAGAAGGTAATTGTAGAAATAGATTTTTTTAAAGCATCAAATATTGCTCMAAGTTTCACATGCAAGTGCAAATATTTAGTCTGGATATGAACTTAATGAAAAAATAACTCATAACCACTAACACCATGGTGTTTCTTTTTTTCTCAGACCATTCTGGACTCCCTAAAGCTGTCTTGTCTAAAATTCCCGTGTCATTCCAGAGCACACGGGGGGGCAGGATTATGTTCAGGAAGTTCTTGAATCCCTCCAGTGAGGGAGACTCCACGCTCTCTTGGCAGTCTGTTCCAGTGCTTGGTCACATGAACAGTGAAGAAATTCTTCCTCATTTCAAGGTGGAGCTTCCTGCACACGAGTTTCTGTCTGATGCCTCTTGTCCTGTTGGCTGGAGCATGGAGCAGAGCTGGTCCATGCTCTGACACTGACAGACACTGATGGGGTTCCCTCTCAGATCTCTCTTCTCAGGTCTGAACAGAGAGTTTTTCCTCCCAAGAGAGTTGCTCCAGCCCCTTAATTATCTTTGTTGTCCTCTCCACTACAAGAACTGCACATCTCTCTTCCCCTGAGGAGCCCAGGACTGGACACAGTCTAGGCMTGCTGAGTCATTAGCTTTGAAAAAGTGACTGGAAATTTACAGAATCTGTCCAAAAATGGGTTTGTTAAATACCTATAGTACTTCACCCACCCTCTCACCCCTCTCTGTGACAGGCTTTCCTTACAATGAAAGTGGATTTCAAAGCACGGGATTTGTACACACAAACCTAAATACCTCTCAGGAGAATAAAAAGCTTGCACCTAAAATGCACTGCCTCTTAAAGAAATCATTACTGTGTTACCGAAACACRATGTCTTTGTTCAGCAAGTGTGACCAGTATCAGTCTATTATCATGTCACTGCCAAAGCCCAAAGCCATTTATCTGAATGTGTCTCTGTCTCCACAGATTGAACTCTCCTGTTTTCCAGTTAGCAGGTAAATACCCATCTTACACACAGACACAAACTGGCTGCTGAAAGGAATGTGCTGAGAAGTGCTGACCTGAGATTGCCCAGTGCTCATGTTCATTTCCTGTAGTTAGTTTAACAGTTATGATCAGTGTGTGACAAGTTGCTGTGATCCAAAAAGGATGCTCAGCTTTCCTGGGCAGAGGATATTTATACCTAAAAAGGTCAACTGAACCTCCCAAGGGGGCTTCAGGCCAGTGCTGAAAAGGTGCACATACAGGGGGAATGTCCCTCTGAACCCAGCTAAGCCAGGGTGGAAGGGCTCATGGCAGCACAGCAGCTCCAGTTCGTCTGGGTATCGAAAGGATGACACAAATGTTTGGGATAAGTGAGCAAAGTAACACAGGAGAATTCACACACTGAAAAGACTCAAAGTTCTGACCAAGGGCCCATCCAACCCAGAATGTTCTGTGATKSTGTGGCTGATGATTCTCAGGCCATGGATCACTGGGCGCTGCTCCTTGATGAGGAACTATCTGTGTCTTTTAGATTAATTCAATTTCTCAAAGAGCACCAGAGCAAGTTTGGCCTCCTGTTTCCAAAGCAACAGCTGCAATAACCAAACTTGACCCAGCTTGGTGAACACCTGACTAACAGTGAACTGAGGGGTTCAGCTCAGTTTTGGTAATGGAACAGAGACACAACATCCTAAGAGAAGATATTTGGCTCCATACTACATGCTCCTGCATGAAAGCGTTTAATTTCAAATATGCTTTAAGATTCTCTTTAATTAMTGGCTTTCATAACAGGAAAAGACCTTCTCCAGCCAGCACAGCAGCACAGTCAAGAGGCAAAATGAAGCAGGTGGTGGGTTTGGGAGGGGAAGGAGAGAGCAGATGTTAGCTKGAAAATTTGGAATGCTCTTTGAGTCCCGTAGCAGGAGCCCAGTTTCCATCAATGCACATTGTAGGAGCAATTAATCGGGACCACCCAGGCCTAGATTCTGCCAGAATGACATTTTCCATTCACACAACACTCTTCTGTAAGGCTGAATGGTTTTTTAAACACTTCTAGAAGAATTTATTTTTCACTTTGCAAATAACCTTCTGCATATTAAAGGACTTAAGAAAATGCAAATCAAGCCCCAAGACACTAAAATTCTTAGGATAGTCCTGGTCCCACTGAAATCTGCCTTTTGTTTATTTTTCACGTGACAGCAAGGAAGCATAAATTAGATGTAAAGACACATTCCACAGAGACTCAAAGGAAGARTTTACCTTTTTGACCTCGTATTTAATAGCGAGTTTAATCCTGCTCAGGCTGGGYCGGTGGTGCTCAGGGCACAAATGGATGTTCACATCTCCGTTCAGAATGGCCTCCACTTCCTCAGTGTCTCTGCACAGGTCCAGCACCCCCACCACAAAGTCCTTGCATTGCATAGATAACTTCCGATAGTCGTTCTGAGGGAAAAYAGAAAAATAAAAGGTTAATTGTGCCCTGGAAAGCTGTGCTGCAAACAGGCAAACGAAAAAAAAAGAAAGGGACAGCAATTGCAAGCAAGGTTACTTCTGCAATAGCTGCCTGGAAGAGTAAAAAAGCATTTGATTTCACACAGCATGTTGTGGCTCTTCACAAAAGTACAGGAACTCCTCCAGACTTAATTARCAATGTCTCTATCAGCAGCATCGTTTGCATTACAATGGGACAAGTTTTACAGAACAAGTAAATAATTTCTAGGGAAATTTTGATTTTAAACAGTCAATTGATGTCACTTCTCTGTGTGGCATATCTCTAGGAATGTAAAAATATGGAAAAAGTTCCTGCTAACTGGTTAAATATACWGCAAATTTTACAGTTTAGGTTCTTTCCAAGTAATTCCTTCTTTAGTAATTTTCTAGAAGTTTCAGACAGGTATAACAAGCTGAAGCATCACACACAGATGTGTTCAAATTAATTATCCAGCTGTGATACCAACTTCAGCCTCCAATTTACCTTAGAATTTAGTTAAACACTCCCGAAAGAGCATCCAGATGATCATTGTCATAACACTTCTCCAGGAAATGGGATTTCAGAAACTCAACATGACTTCCTGTGAAATAATTTCACTTTGCAAACCCAAATTACCCTTATGGGAAAAGGRATAGCCTATAGCTGACTTGACAGAGGGGTAGAAGAGCAATTTCCCTGCCTTAAATTAAATTGTGATTGATTTTCACATGCAAACACTTAAAAAATGAGGAAGGTTCCACCACCTGTGTAAATGCTGTAAGTTAGAACACAATTCAAGCTCCCATTAATATCATAACAATATGGGGATATTAAAGGCTCGATGCAACAAATAGAAATAATAAGCATAAGACAAGCTCTTACTGAYTTGAGAGATCTTTTCAAATTAGGTTTGATGAGTTAATTAAATTCAGTACCTTATCTAATTAAACCAGCAGCCTAAAGAAGAAGATAGTTAAACCTGGTTTTGATGAAATGATAAGGGTAACCTGGTTTTGTGCTTCTATATTTTCTAAATTATCRATTCTGTCATTTACACATAGCAACATATTAGCCTTCCTCGTTAGACAAAGATCTCAAAGCCCTGTGCAAACATTCATTAATTAGGTAGAGCAGCACTGTCTGAAATATTGATGTTATTAGAGGTGGCTTAACTTCTTTGGTGTTCTCTGGTTCTCTTCAGAGCTGAGATGACAGTGTATTTTTAAAATCAGCTGGTTTAATGGTTTTGCTTCTGCTGTGCATGTGTGGTGTCCCAGCTTTAGTTTCCACGCTTGGAAGAGCTGGGAAGAGATATTTCAGTTGGAACAGAACAACTGAAGAGCTTCAGGGAAGCAGAAAGCCCCTCACGGCTGGGATTGGGGCATTCTCAGAGAAAAGGGAAGATGCCATTTCTGATCTGTTTGGGACAAGAGGCTGGAGACAGCTGGGGAATAGCAGGGGTTTTACTGCTCAGACCTTCTGCACGGTGAAATTTGTAGCTTGCCTCCTCTTATCTGTCAAAAAGCTTTAAATTGAAGTTCCTCTTTTTGTCCTTGGGTGCTCTAATTAGACCAGATGTTCTAATTCTATTGTTAATGGAGATAAGCAAGAACTTCAAATCTTTATTAGGAGTAGAACGAGAATACAACAGGCAGATCTTTATCTGGKTGAAGGCCCCATTGCAGAACCTGGAGCACCAAGACTTCCATAAATGAGCCAAGATGGAGCATGAAGATTTAAGATGTCCTTATGGCTCAGGCAGAATATGATGATCCATTTACATYTAAATCTAGTACCTGAGCATTTTGTGGAGATGGACAGGATTGGTGGAGTAAATGTTTTCAAACATAGGGTGAAGTAAGGGTTGAAATGTGAATGAAAGGCTTCAAAGTGCATCTCTCAAATCAATCCCACGCTTTAATCTTCCCCACACCAAGATGAATTTCAATAAATAGAAAGCTTGCCTCTTCACTGAGAGAATAGATGGCCAGGCAAAAATAGCAGCGTCAAAATAACCACAGAAATAGTGAAGGACAGCAAATATAGGTAGATCTGAAAATAGGTGTAGTCTGGGAATGAAATGCCTTCCTGCCACAGGCAATGGAGATGCACAATTAGCCCAACAGCTTAAAAAAAACCCAAGGGTGAGGATTCTGCTGAGCTTTAATACCTTTTTCTATGTACTCTTCACACAGTTCRCAAGCTTCCCCCTTAACCAGCACATTTTAGGAAATTCTTATCACCACTTCCACATCATCTGAGCAACTACTTTGTATTAACTCAGTTTATTTCCCCTGTTCTGCTTTCTTTAAGGAAAGAGGTTTAGTAGCAACTAGGAAAGTGCTTTTAAAGCATTTGAAAATGGCAGGTTCCAAACTGTCAGACTCTGTCAAGACCCAACTTTATTCACATCTCCAAGCCTAATGTTTCCACTGATTCTGTGTATTTGCAGGAACCATGGATGAGCTCCCCATTCTAACTCTTTTACTCTGATTTTTAAGTAGACATAAGCAGCCATACACCCTACCCAAGATCCAGGCTGTATAAAAAATAAAATAAAATAAAATAAAATAAAATAAAATAAAATAAAATAAAATAAAATAAAATAAAATAAAATAAAATAAAATAAAATAAAATAAAATAAAATAAAATAAGACTGCCCTCCAGCAATTCTGCAGCTAGGCAAGAGAACAGATTACATATTCCAGTAGACTGCTCATCTGTTAAGACAAGTCTCAAAGATCATTGAACCTGCTGTGCCTTCTGATGATCCCTTTTACAAAACCATTTGTCATCTTTGTTCTGGCCTCCTTAATGCTCACAGTCATCACAGAAAATCCTGATCACCCTGACAGTGAGAACACGCTCAATGACTCTCCTCATGTCAGTGTATTTCTCTCCTCAAACACACACTGTTCTTTACTTAAAAACTGAGATTAACTGAGGACTGACAGCCAAGCTTCTCCTGATCCTGSCTTGCAAAGCACAGCTCTGGTGACGCAAGCAGGAATTGTGTACCTGCATCTGAAATCCTGAACTGCGAGTTCTGACGCACGGGAAAAATCCCAAGGAAGCCAAAAAGATTTATTTCCAAGCAGCATCCAAGCACTCTCAGTGTTTGTGCCAGTGCTGTTTTTCTCACACATTTGCCCACATTYCAGACATTTGGAAGCATCCAGGATCCTTTATTTCCTGCAGGAAGGAGTGCTGGGACAGTGGGTGGAAAGCTGCACCACAGGGCAAAGGTTAGTGAGGGGGGAGAGGAAGAGGTGAAGGAAAACCAGGATGCATTTCCAGACACTTCCAGACACTGGTGACAAGTCACAGGACCTCAGGGAATGGCCTCAGGTTGTGTCAGGGGAAGTTTAGGTTGGATATTGGAAAAAGGTTCTTCTCCTAGAGGGTATTTGGGTGCTGAAGAGGCTCCCCAGGGCAGTGGTCACAGCACTGAGCCTGACAGAGCTCACGGTGAGTTTGGACAATGCTCTCACACAGATTTGTGGGATTTTGGGGCTGTTCTGTGCAGGGCCAGGAGCTGGACTTCAATGATCCTTGGGGGTCAGTTCAACTCAGAGTATCGAATGATTCTCAGTGATTCTGGTTACACCAAGGTTTTTGAAGATCTTAACCCTGAGGACTCCTGTGACTCTGCCAGGAAAGGGGTGCAAAGGGACAGTCCCCATTTCACCACTGCCAGGCTCCACCCCTGAACCAGGCACTTCCTGGCCCTCCTGTCTAAATGAGCTTTGTGGAGAACCATCCTGGCTGCAAGGACAGGCAGTGGGCAGTGAGTGGGGTCACAGTGTGCCACAACAAGGAATTCGGGGCTGGACACACAAAATCCACCTCAGTCCTCTCGGCCGTGCTGCAAAACCAGACACAATGATAATAATCCAAACCTTCCTGAGCACCCCAATTAAATATCACATTTTAGAGGTCTGAGGATTATGAGGTTCATAAACCAGCTGCATTTTTACAGTAATGAAAACTGCAAATCACACAKGAGAGATGCTGGGGCCTCATCATGACAGGSTGAGCACTGTCAGGCCTYGGGGAGGAAGATGAGGGATACAACTCAGTGGGCAAGAGAGCCAGTCTGTTTCAAATAACACAAAGGACAGAATTTTATTTCCAATGGAGGCAGTGAGCAGAGAAGGATCAGGATAATGCCTACAAAGTTACAATATCATTTTTTAAAAACTAGAACGTAATAAAAGGATTCCAAATTAGTCATTTCCTGCTTCTTCTAACAGTGTTGTGCATGTGGAGTTAAAAATGTCTAATTTTGCTGTTTTGAAAAGGCTGATGCTGCTTGTCATTCACTGCAATTTCTCCAAGTACCCTATTATTATCTGTTGATTATGTTCTAAATGAACTCTGTCATGTCTCCACATCTGTTCAAAACCAACCAGATTTTTTTCAGAGRAGAGCTGTTTCAGGTCAGAGGGATGGAGTCTGATTAAAAAGTTAAGTGAAATGAGGAAAACTAAGACCAGGAACCTATCTGGCATTTCTGGGTAGCATTAAATTTGCTGTGCAAATGAAAGCTGTAGGCACATTGCACAGAGCCTCTTTTTATGTTTCCTTGAGCTCTTGGCTCTTTGTATTTAATCCACATCACACATACATCAAGGAGAGAAATATTGCATTGCTTAGATTTGCATTTTGAGAAGAGGCAGCAGAAAAAAGAAAAGGAGAGGTAATTCTGTAAACATGAACAGAAAACTCTCCCAATCAAAAACAATCGCAGAAAGAAAACAAAGCTGAGAGAAAGGAGGGGGACAAAAAGCAGAAATACTTCATGCTAGATTTGAAATTAAATTGTTAAATAAACCATCATGTCAAATATTCAAAGCACTTATAAATATTTACCAATTAGATATCACATGAAATATGCACAAGCCAGTATAGAAAAGCTGTGGGACAAATTTCCTTCTGGGTATTTACAATGTCTTTGGCTGGCCATGTGTCT